GTTTACTGTGGGTTCTCCGAGCCTGTAGGCTCAGCAAAAATATTCCCTTTGAACCCACCTAGACTGGTTCTGGGACTGTCTACCTACCCGGACGAAACTTTGCCCTTCGGCAAAGCCTCGTCCGGGTTCCTCTCTGCCGAGGCAGAGAGTTCGACTGTTTGAACAATCTATTCGACTGTTATATTTAACAGTCCCCTCACAAGTAATTTATTTAGCACAAGGCCGAGTTTAACCTGGGTTTCTCCGAGCTCGTAGGCTCGGCCAAAAATATCCCATTTGAACCCGCCTAAACGGATTAAGGAGCTGTCTATCTTCCCGGACGAAACTTTACCCTGCGGAAAATCCTCGTCCGAGTTCCTCTCTGCCGATGCAAAGAGTTTGACAGTTGAACAATCTATTCGACTGTTCCCCCAAGGCCTTCTCTCCTACTAATCTTATAGTAGGCGGAAGAGTCCAACATAGACTCTCTCTCTCTCTCTCTCTCACACACACACACACACACACATATATATATATATATATATATATATATATATATATATATATATATATATATATATATAGAGAGAGAGAGAGAGAGAGAGCGTACTGGGTGAAAGCGAGTGAATCCTTAAGATAATATATTTAAAATTTGTCTTTTTTGCCAGATAGCCAAGAAATCTTAATTAAACTATATATTCATTAAGGGAAACCCTTATTAAATGACTTATAACCACTATCGATTTTTTTTATCCATCTGGAATAAAAATATTAATTAAGCTTCTTCTGCTTCAGTGCCTGTTGCACACGTTCGAAACCGCTACGAGTACAGGTCCGCAGTTTTGGTTTAACACGTGACGCACTCATTTCCGTATCTGTGATCATTTCTTTCTCCATACAAAACGGTAAAGATTTATGCTTCTGAATGTGTGTCCTATATTCAAGTTAGTCTTATCTGCCAAAAGATATTCTATATTTTCCCCACACACTGTCAGAAAGTACAATGAGTGACAGTCTGTTTCTCGTTGCTTTATCGGCACGAAAGCGTACGCATATTCGATCGAGTACTCACCAGTGACGAAAAGTAGGTACTGTATGATGCGTACCAAGACATTGGTTGTCACCAAGGGTTCATGTACCTCACAGCATAAACCCAACTATTCACACACGCAAGAACATGGTGGACTAGTTAACAAGTGTTCCACAATGGGCGTTTACCAACGGGCCAAATGAACACTGCGGACTTATACTCGTAGCAGTTTAGAACGTGAAATAGAACGTGAAAGGACCAGCATTGGTTAATTCATATTTTTATTCCAGCTTGATAAAAATATATGAAAGTGGTTATACATCCTTATGCAAATTAATTGAAACAACCGCTTTCTTTTTCCTATCTTACGCCATACGTTCAGTTTACACCAACTGGAGTGACAGGGTGTAATCGATTTCTTTTTTTTCATCAGATGAGGTAATTTGCAGTGGTGTGCAGTAATATGTATCTATTTTCTGGGTGTATAATGAAATTTGTTTGGCCTTGAAAAATATTGCGTCATCCGTGATTGCATCAAATATTTACCACGCCTAGACACTATTGTCTCGACTGTGATTAGTTGTCCTACGGCCATTGATTTTACTACAAAGTTAACGAAAATTGCAACGCTGCACAAACACACTGGCATGCCTTACCAGTGAGGAAATAAAAATACTATGGATTGGCACGGAAACTCTCCTGATTTAAATCCAATTGATAATCTCTGGTAAATCTGTAAAGAACGACTTCATGGAATTGACATACGAAGTACTAACATGTGCACTGGGTCATGTTTCATTGGAAAAATACGAAAAAAATGTAAATAATATCGTAATTATTCGTTTGTTTCAATCAATTTGCACAAGGGTGTAGTTCATCGAATAAAGATTTTCCTTAACGAATATAGAGTTTAATTAAGATTTGTTGATTATCTGGAAAAAAGAGACAATTTTTAGATATATTATCATAGGGGTTCACTCATTTTTATCCAGTACCGTATGTGTACGTGAGTGTATGTGTGTGTGTGTGTGTGTGTGTGAGAGAGAGAGAGTGAGAGAGAGAGAAAGTGTGTTTGCGGGTGTGTTCACATATAAAACAATTTGTAAAACTTACTTATAAAACTTACGTTTCACCGTTACCATTCGTGATGACGTCATTTCATCGGTGAAATTCTTATATTTTAACTATTCCGTTGTGTTCTCACCCAATAATACTAACGCAAAACAAACAAACAAACACACTCACACGCACACGCGCGCACACACATATATAGATTCATATATATGTATACACGATAAAAATATAGTTTTAATGTTTGGTATATTTGTACATAGAAGTGCTCAATATTAGATATGTAGCCTATGAAAGTGGCACTGAGGTTAATACCGAGCGAATATGCTATTGCGTGCTAGACAGCAATCGTCAAGCAGGAAACGGTCGCCACTCGCTGTTGACCTTAGGGTCGACACACATACGTAAACACACAGAAACGCGCGCGCACCCCCCCATACATATATATATATATATATATATATATATATATATATATATATATATATATATATATATATATATGGGGTAACAGCAAAATTGTCCAAGTGTTAAATTTAGTTTTGATCCGTTGTGTTTTAGTAATGATTAAAGATATCTTACTGGAATTCTCCGAGGTTTTGTAACATTATTGTACCATACTTTGAGCAATAAGAATCTATAATTACTCTCAAGCTTAACAGAAGGATCGTGATGAAATCGATCATAAACGAAATTAATCATAGCTAAGCATTGAAGCTAATGAAGGATTGAAATAAAGTTGCTATATATATATATATTATAATATATATATATATATATATATATATATATATATATATATATATTGTCATCAACAGAGAGACTGTTTCCCTGTCTCACAGCTCATCAGTTTGGTTAGACGTCCGGTTACCTCTAGCTAGGATCGAAGCCCGACTGAATTGGAGCCAGTAGGGGATTTTTCCACTAAGCCATTGGTGCACGGCAGGGATGAAGATGGATTTAAGCGTATTTATTTTTAGATAAACACACAGTAACTGAGAAAACTCGATTCGATTTAACGAAGAGTATTAGCCGTAATAGTCACTGTTTACAAACCCACACTTCCTCCCCAGAGTGCTCAACCGAAATAAATTTTTCAGGAGCATATATATATTGTCATCTACAGACAGACAGTTTCGCTGTATCATAGTTCATAAGTGTGGCTAGACGTCTGACATATATATATCTATATATATATATATATATATATATATATATATATATTATTGCAGGATCGTTTTCCAACTCATTCCAGATGATCTTCAACGTTTTAACCGTCTGACTGTCTGGCCTGGAGTAACAAAGTGCCTTACAGATTTCACATCAGAGTTCATTTTCAAGATTTGTATCACTGTTCCTTAGATTGTCGTTGATGAAACTGGTCTCTTATGTGCCAAGCGTTTTATGGATTGAGTTGGTTCTTTTGTAATTGATCTCTTTAGCTCTAAGCTGAAATGATGATCACTCTTTCTGTTGTGATCTCCTGATACAGTTTTCCTCTCTACTGTTCCCTCTTTTTAAACTTATTCGCCGTTCTTTTGTTGGTTCTTGAATGGACTTTGAAGATGGAAGCCAGAATATGAATGTTGGTAGCATTACTGAAGGCCTGAATGATCTTTTCCTCTCACCATTGCCCAGGTGGGAAAACTGTGGGACTGGCACAAAACGATTTTAACCAGTTCTATTTCTAGCTGAATAATTCAAATAGTTTTTCAGTGATTCTTACGATAAATGGTGTCAAGATGACTAAAAGTCTTATCTAAAAACCCGAGAAAGGGAAACGCAATTAGTTTAGTGGATTTTAGATATTAAACATTTTGTCGGTTGGACAATTATGGTGTATACCTGATATATATATATATATATATATATATATATATATATTTGTGTGTGTGTATGTGTGTATAATAGAGTATTATTCTACTACCTGTAAGAAGAATAAAGAATAAGAAATAAAAAGAAAGCTACTTGAGTTTCACCCCCAATATGAAGGATCGTCAGGCCAGGTTCGCAGGTTCAATCTTTGTTTTACTTACTTGGTGGTACTGACCTTGAATGTGGAGAACTCTCTTTTTATCTGGAATAGAATATCATCCATGCTCCATATTATTATATATAGAGTTACTAAAAATTATATTTCATGATATTAATATTCTACCACTGTTTTGTGAAAGCACAAATGAAATACCGCTGGCCTTGCATGCTTCAATTCTTTTGTATCTCAATTCAAAAATCACGTGATTGCTTCTGTGAGCAAAGGAAATACAATCACCGATGTTGATGTCCACAATGGTATTAAGAAGAAGAAGAAGAAGAAGAAGAAGAAGAAAAAGAAAACAATCGTGACTGACGCATTCACACGCATGAACATATATACACACGCATGCGCAAAAGCGTGAACGCATCGACAAGAAAACGTGCTGTCGAAGCTTTTGCATGAAATGATCCGAGTAGGAATCACTGCAGCAATGATGTGAAAGGACATAAACAGACACGACAAACCAGCTCGCGTCTGTGTACTTTGACGTCGTAACGTCACTTACCGACTGAAAAAATGGAGGCTGACGTGAACCTCGTTCTGGGATATTAGTGAAAGAGAGACAGAAAGAGAGAGAGAGAGAGAAAAAGAGAGAGTGAGTGGGTAATTTTGCTTGGTGAGAGAATTATGGAAAGCGAAGGAAATTGATGATGGGAAAAGACAGTAGAAAAATAAACGAAGAAACCAGTAAAGGAAGAAGAAGGGAGAGATAGAGAGAGTGAGTGAGGAAGAAGGAGTGAAACGTGAAAGCTGAGAAGAGGCAGTGAGAAAGTGAGTGAAATATATTTTAATGAAGTAAAATGTGCTCAACATATTAACAAAAATTAAGAAAAATAACAGAATTAAATAACAATGTATAAAAGAGGGAAATGTAAATACGACTTAATGTATGGAAGAAAGAAAGAAAGAAAAAAGAAAGAAAGAAAGAAAGAAAGTGAAAGGAAGAAAGAAAGTGAAAGGAAGAAAGAAAGTGAAAAGAAAGAAAATACAGGATGGAGTGTTAAAGAAAAAATAGAAAAGAAAATAAAGGAACAAACAAACGTATGGACAAAAGAAAGAAAGGGCGAAAAAGAAGAGTAAAAGAAAAGATGAAATTGACTGAAGTGCAGAAAGGAAAGACAAACCATACGAATGCACGGCTGAATTGAAAGAAAGAAAGAAAGAAAGAAAGAAAGAATGATTGAGAGGGAGTGTAAAAATTAATGAATAATATAGAAAATGTAAATGAAAAATAGGAAAGCAACAAAATAGAAAGAAAATATGAAAAATAATGCAAAGGATTCGTAATGTGTGACTAAAAAAAATGAAAGACTGACAAAACAAAGGAACACAGGAAATAAAGAAATAAGAGAGAAAGACGGTGTTAGAAAAAATGGAATAGATATGCAAAAACGAACGAAAACAAGATAAAGTAAATTCAATTGTGCGTGAGAAAGAAAGAAATGAAATTAAAGAAAGCAAACCTTCTTTTTAGAATGATAAAGGAAAATGAAAATTGAAAAAAAAAAAAGAAAGGTGAAAGAAATTAGAAAAAAGAATTCAAAAAGCAGTGAAAAACGTGAAGGAAAATAAGATTTAAAAAAAAATGAAAAAAGATAAAAAAATAAAAGAAACGTAAACACAAATTTGATGCGTAAATGAAAAAAAATGAAGAATAAAAAGGATATTTTTTTTTAAATTTGTTTCATTAGGATCAGTTCTCTTTGTTGTTTAAATCACAACATCCCAACCTATCTACTCTCCAATCATCTTCAGGTGTTCTTCTAAATCAGTAAATTTCTGGGAACGTTTAACTGATTCCTTGGCATTTTGCATAAATTTCTTGTCATTTTTCTTTTTCTTATGACCCCGATTTGTCTCATTCTGAAACACGGGTATATGTTTTGCTATCGAATTAAGGAATTGAACTCACGACATCCACATATGATTTATTAGCATCCAAGCATTGTCTTTTTCTCGTGGAAACTACATCCAGTAAGAGTCATCGAATCTAATTTTGAAGAGTCATAGATTTATTTTGAATATTTTTCTCATTAGTCACCGTTATTGTGGTGCTGTTATCTACGCTTAGCCTACTGAGTGAATTATTACTTGTATGTGGTTTCTTTTAATGTTATTCTTTTGTGTGATTTCTAAAGATCTGTTATAAAAGAAAAGCTGAGTGTTTGTTCGTTACACACTCTTAGCGAATGACTTTACAATTACGTATCTAATATCTGTGTTGAGGTTTCTTTTAGACTTGATGAATTACTTAATTATAATTATTTCAAATCCTCCGAATTATTTCTATCTGTATATCCTTGCTTGAACAGGCTTCTAATGCTCTGGACTGAGCAGCTTGGGGATAAGTGTCGTAGCTCTGGGAGGTACAGTCCTATGGGTAAAAGAGAAACTCGGATGAGTTCCACCAGGGAATATGTGATCGAGCGGCGCTATATCGAATCTAATTCGTCTCTGAGAGCTGTTGGTACAGTTGGTATGGCGTTTGCCTGATAACGTAACTGTCCGGGTTTCAATTCTCGGTAGTGGATGCACACTGCTGATACATCCCAAATATAGAACGAAACGCCCGTCCAGTGCATTCTGTTGAGGCTTCTTCTTGGCTCGATGAATTACTTAATTATAATTACCTCAAATTCTCCTAAAATTTTCTTTTATCACTCACACACACACACACACATATATATATATATATATAAAGGTGGCCTGACGATTGCATATAGCATGAAACAGACTGTCGCCTTTAAGTGTTGACTTCTATGTTCTCTTTTATATTTACACACGCTCTATCTCTGATATTGAGCACTTTATCCCATAAATATAGCACACCTTAAGACTATATTTCTTTATATATATATACATATATATATATATTGTGATTTTCTAAACCCGGCTTAGATGTGGCACAAGGCCGAAAGTATGGGGCACCTAGTCGTAATTGATCTAGCAAGACAAGCTTTCTAGCCAATACACCACGCCGAGGTGCCCAACACACACACACACACACACACACACACACACACACACACACATATATATATATATATATATATATATATATGTATGATTTATATGGATTTATGATATTTAATACAAGTACACAAACAGGAATACGATTTGACTTAGAGATTAGAATTCTTTCTCCCAACAACACTATGCGCTGAGCAATAAAATCTTAAAGTTGGACAAGAATATTATTGTTAATTTTTTCCACCTTGAAAAATTAAGAGTAAAGCAGGTTTAATGACTTTTCGGAAATTATTCGATAATAAATATAAATACACAAACAGGTAAACATACATACACATAAACATACATACACACCAACGCATAAACATATGTACACACAAACACGTAAACATATAGACACACAAACACGTAAACATACATACACATGCATTCTAAATGAAGTTGAAATAGGCATGTCAATCATGACGGCTAATATCAATATTTTTCTGTGCTCATGAAGAAGACATTGGAGACGATAAAAATGTGATTGTACAGAAGGATGCTGAGAATACAATGCGTGCAACGACGAAATTTTAGGGAAAATCGAAACGAAAAGAACACATGTAACTAGAACCAGAAAGGCACAGTTGAAATATCTAAGGCACATAATGAGGAAAGTCTGCTTGGAAAATTTGACACTTACAGGACAGATTGAAGTCAAGAGGAACAGAGGAAAACAGCGCATTACCAACCTAATGAGCTTGTGTAAATGGATGGCAGAACATGAATTAGAAGATAAAAAAGATAAAATTAACTAAGAACAAAGAAGGACAGTAAATTATGGCGAACCATGACCGCCAATGGACTAAAGGGACAAGGCACAGAGAAGGATTCCGTAAGTAAGAGAAAAAGAGAATGTGCTTGCCTTTGAGATCGTTTAAATTGTTCCTGCTGTAGTTAAAGAAAATCTATTTTCTAATAAATGTAATATTTTAAATGAGCAAACAAATGAGATCATCTTGCCATCAATAAAGCGACGGGGATCAAAATAGCAGATCACTGCAAACGTTTGAACCCGATTTTGATTGTTAATATAATATTGAAACCGGTGCTCGTTTTCGTGCTAATTTCTTGTTTATTCTTGATTGAAAAATTCAGTTGCAAGCCAGACTTGCTTAATATAGACGCTTTTCCCACAAATGCTTGACTTAAAGATGGAGGATGAAGAGGTGCACGTTCGCCATATTCTCCATGTATTTTCGAAAAGAATAAACTTCAGAAATCCTATAAAAACATTCAGAATGTTTATTTGGGCCGTGCTCCAGCTTTTTGAATAGTCAAAAGTTGGCTCCGTAGATATCATTAAGTTGATTTTAGCTTAAACGATCAACCACGTTCCGGGTGACATTCCGAAATCGATGAGGATGCTCTGCTTGCAATCGGATAGAATAAAACGAAGATTTCAAAGGAAGAGATTGCTAAGAGTTTGAATATCGATATCTGAACAACCTTTCGCCATTTTTGAAGAGACTGTTCGTTTCCAAACTCGATATGTGACTATCGAATTCTCTGACGGAAAAGAAAAAAGCTCGATCGTGATTCGGTGGCTATTTCTTTGTTGTTAACCCATCGAAAAGGAAACGTTCTTGGACATAGTTGTCACAGGCGATAAAAATGGATCATTTATGATAACGTTCAACGCAAACATAGCTAAAAACCAAAGGTTGTGAATATGTAGAACCCGTGGATAAAACGGGCTTTCATTGGATAAAAGTGTTGCTATCCGTTTCATGGGTATGCAGAGGGAAATGCAAGTGTTTAATGACTGTTTCAGTGAAATGGAAAAAAAGTTTTCAATTTTAAATGTTTTCCTTTGTACTTGCTTATTTCTTAAAATAACGACCAGAATTCATATGAAGTTCGTTATTGCAATATTTTGTCATAGTATTAAGGTCAGATCTTTAAAGATGCGGTGGGACATTTCTACGGATATTTTATTGTCGTAGAACTCGCCATGTGCTTATTCAATCATTAGCTGAAGAATTGATTCATCAGAAAATACAAATAGGAAAACCGTAGAATTTTCACGAGTTAAAAGAAGTTATTATAAATTTATAAAACAAATTTCGGAGAAAATCACAATGACAACTGAGATTATTTAAATTATAACCAAATTGCCTGCCTTGAAAATCGGCGTTCAATGCCTTTGACCTGGGATCGAATTATGACCAAAGGCGGCATTGGGAAATATGTGATTATTTCAGCTTCAACATCGTTTTTTGATTTAAAACAAAAGTTGTGTGCATTTTGTATTCCTGAGTCACTCACTTAGGATATGGACACTTTGTTCTTTCACGTAGCATATAATTACACTGTATTGTATAAGTTTCAACAGGGTTAGAAATCAGTGTTCGAGCCCAGTTAAAAATCGAATTTCCAACACTGATTTTCAAGGTAAGCAAGCAGTAATTTTGACCCACCAAAATCATTCGGGCAGATGTTCTATTGAAAAAAAAGGAAATAATACGAAGCTACAAAAAAAAAATTGAAAATCAAAATTGAATAAAAAAAGAAATAGCGATAAAAAGAGAAACAGAGAAAACTAGAGGAGAAAGAAAGAAAGAAAGAAAGAAAGAAAGAAAGAAAGAACGAAATATGAAGAGAAAAATCGAGAGTAAGCGAAAGAGAAATAGAGATATTATGAAAAAGGAGATAAAGTGAGAGAGAAAGACACATAAATCGAAAAAGAAGGAAGGCAGATATTGAAAATAAGCAAAAACGAAGACCTAGACTGAAATGATGTCAGAAGAAGTAAAAGTAACCAGGAAGGAAAAATAGAAGGAAAAAAAAAAAAACATAAAAAGATGAAGAAGAAAAAAAGGGAAACATTGAAAATCACGAAATAAAAGAAAAATGAATAAAAGAGATAAGAAGAAAAAGAAAGCAAAAAAGAAGCATGTATGAGAGAGAGAGAGAGAGAGAGAGAGAGAGAGAGAGAATGGACTGAAATAAAAATGGCGAAGAAAGAAAAACAGAAAAAAAAAGGTAAAATAAAACAAATGAAAAAAAAAGAGAGGCCAAAAAGGCAGACGAAACGTGAAAAAAAAAAAAAAATATTTAAAGAAGATAGTTAAATGAATTGAAAAAGAAAGAGTGGAAAAAAGAGTGAAGAATAAAATGAAAAAGAGAAAAAGAGTCAAATGAAAAACTGTTAATGTAAAAAAAAACAAAAAAAACGGAGGAATAAATGAAGAACAGAAAAACAAGCGAAAAACATTGCAAGTCTAAAATTAAAAAAAAAAAAATAAGAAAAGAAAGAGAGGACAACGAAAAAGAGGATCAATAAATCTAAAATAGAAAAGAAAAAAAGAAACAAAAAATGGAACACCACTCGATACATTTAGATCTTTTGAAAAAGCGATAAAAAGAGACAAGCAGAGAAAATAGAAGATCCAGCGGCAAAGATGGAGGAATGGTAGGGGAAAATAGAGACTCGGCACATTTACCTCAGAATTGCAACTTGCTATTTTAACATATAATCGCGTGGTAATGATATAAGTACTCCAACTGGTCGGCCAACGGCGGCTCAAGTGTGCTGATATCCATACACCCCCGCCTCACCGGACGTGCATACAAAGTCGGGTAAAAATCTTCCAGAATGAACGAATACGAATCGAATCTGTCTACCGACAATCACCCCCGTCACTCCCACACTGTATCTCTTTCGAAATGACAGAAATAACATATTTTCCCACGCTTCGCTGACCAATTCTTTAAAATAAGACGCAAACCTAAATACATCAAATACGCTTATTTCACGACAAATACAAACGAATCCCGCGATTTCATGTATATATATATATATATATATATATATATATATATATATATATATATATATATATATATATATAGGAGATTTTACATTTATTTTGCATCTGTAAGAATATATACATATTGATTTATTGTTAACGTATGGGTTAAATAAATAAACATAATAATATAAATACAAAGTTTCATATATATATATATATATATATATATATATATATATATATGTGTGTGTGTGTGTGTATCCGGTTTACTCTGAAATAGTTTTCTAAATTTTCATAGAAAATCTACATAGCCATAACTTACTAATACTAAAATAGTATTAACTACTTCTCTCTCTTTCTCTCTCTCTTTTTTATATATATATATATATATATATTATATATATATATATATATATACTCTTCCGATACTATTATCGATTTTACGAATTATTCCCTCTTGTCTCCAAATATCGATTAAAGTTGAATCTAAAAGGACACATTTACCTCCAGTGTTAACCAAATGTAATAGTTATCATTGTTTATAATTATGCAGCTATAAATTAAGACACCTCGGTAAAAGAAAACGAAACATCACTTGAGACGCCCTTTAAAATATCCACGTCTATTTCACGAAATAATAAAAAAATTTATACAATATCCTTTTAATGTGGATCATCATTTTGAGGTCGGTCAACTTTAATCTGTTATACGCAGAAACGAATAATTAATACTATAAAGACACTGGATGCAGATTTGATGAGCTTCCATATTCAATGAACGATAGGAATGGATGGATGCAGCGTGTCATCGAATGCCGAGCTTGTTTGACCTGATAATGGTAAATACTATATTTTGGAGATGGTGACCTTTTTATCTACTAATCGCAGAAACACATAATTAATCCTATCTTTTTGGAATGGTGTGCTTTTATCTGTTATACGCAGAAAAGTCATTTCGGATAGTGGGCTTTAATTTGTTAAACATAGAAGCCTATAATTAATACTATAAATTCGATAAACATTCAATATTATATATATTTTTTATAAACCTATAATTTCTTTTTAATCGTTTCACCCCAAGCAATGCGGGAAGCCACTAGCACCCAAGGTGTTACTGAGAGTTGGAGCTAGAGCAAATAGGAGTGATAGAGGAAAGGATGAAGAGAAAAATAGGGGATAGATCAAGGCATCTGGAGATGTCGATTGACATTACATTTGAATAGTTGGAGATTATTGCTATCAGGGAAACAGGAAAAAAGGGGAGGGTGCTCCACAGGCGAGAAGTGCGAGACATGAAGCTATTGGAGTAGAAGAGACGTCTACATTTAACAGTTTCGACAGTGAAAGTGTGAGAGCGATATGTACACCTACTTGAACGCTTAAATTCATAAAGTCTGGAAATCAGCGAAAGGAGCTCATCGGAGCAGTTACCGTGAAAGTATTTGTAAAAACGACAGAGGGAGGCAACTGCACGTCTGTGTGAGAGCGACTGCAGACAAAATACCAGATCAGGGCCAATTACATTGCAATATATGTCTTTGGATTTTATCAAGGACGCTGAGACAAACAGAAGGGACTCCAGACCATATATGGCAGCAATATTCCATGAAAGGGCGAATAGTTGATTTGTAGATATGAAGGATCGACTCTGGCGAGAAAATTTTCCTTGTGCGGCACAGGGAGCCAACTTTTCTTGCGGTGGACTAAGCTATTGACTCAATGTATTTGCTCACTCTCAGGTCAGCAGTCAATGTGAGACCGAGCAGTCGCAAAGAGCTGTTCTCGTGGAGTTGAGCGTCAGACATTCTAATGGGAGGCAGGGATGGTTCTCTGTGGTGAGCAATAGAGTGCAGTTTCGTTTTGGAGGCCTTAAAGTTAACCAGCCAATTCCTACCCCAGTCCACAACCGATTACTTCATTTAAATTCACTTTATTGCTCTCAACTTTATTTTTATTATCTCACATTTCGGCAGATGTGCCTTCCAGCCTTTATGTATGTCAATCCGTCTAAACCCCAGGCAATGTCGATCTAAGCCCTTTATTCAAACTACGTGTATAGACTGCTCTCGTTCAGTTGCCCATGTCTAGAGATATCTCATCTTGTTCTTATTTTTGTCTCTCTATATTTCTGAGATGAGGTATTGTAATTATTTTAAATATTTACATTGTTCGGACTGTTGTCCTTATCTTTATGGCCATTATCACGACGTTTCAGCCGTTGTACGCTTCAGGTGATTGGATTATCTTCTTCAGGTGATTAGTTATCGAAATGAATCCTTTATTCTGTTTACCTGGTTAGATTGTTCTTGTTCCACGTGCCATGTCTCTTCCGGATATGTCAGTTATCACCCTTTATTTCAAATCGCCACTTTCTTGTTCACCATTGCAGTATCCAGGTTTTGAACTCACAACTCTTTGGGTCAACTCACTGGATCCAACCAACGTTTTTAACCATTGGACCATGTATCGTTTACTTTTAGTAAATAGGCGTAGATAAGGTCGCCTATCACGCGGTTCACACTCCTTCTATCTATCTATCTTTCTATCTGTTTACATCAGTCAATGTATATATTCATCTATCTTCATTTTTTTTATTTTGTCGACATCACAGTATACTCGTGCCAGTTGGGTACTGTCTGTGTGAAAAATAGTAGCATGGCGCAATTCACACAGCCAGAAATTTGAAAACGGCATGCTGTACTGTTTGACATTCGCGCCGGTAGCTCCAATGTGAACATTTCGGAGTGTTTGTGTCAATTTGAGGACTGTGCAAAGGATTCAGAAAGAAATAACTGAGTCTAATGTTGATTACGAAGCTATTCGGAATTGATCATTATTGGCTGGAACGTTATGCATCTATTCATCATCCCAAAGCGCTCCAGACTCAACATGGAAGCATAAATCAAGGCCTTGATAAGATAGTGCTGCTCTAGATCAAGAGGGTGGCTGCTCTATGTCTATCAACAGGACTCTGTGCCATGCCGCACAAAAAGGAGAATACATTAGTAGCTGTCAGACAATTTCTGCGACCACATCACCTTTCACATCTGACAACATAACTACCCAGACTGCAACTCCTATGATTATTATGAGACAAACAAAACATCTTGTAACACCAAAGATGAACTGAAGGCAAGGATTATGGTAGCATTCATCAGCTTAAACAAAGAGACTGTCCAGAAGAGTTGCAGGAGATTCAGAAGTAGTCTAAATCTCGTGGTTGAGGCCAATGGAGATTTTATTGAATAAATTTACTCTTTAGTATTTCAAGATATTGTTTGTGTAATTTTGGTAAATATAACTGTTAAAATGAGATGTCAGTGGTATTTTCATGGTTGCGTCATTCAGATGGCAATTCATCCATCGCACCCTTTATATCTGCTCTATTTCTATCTATCTATCTATCTATCTATCTATCTATCTATCTATCTATCTATCTTGGTCTGTTATCTATCTATCTATCTATCTATCTGTCTTGGTATGTTGTCTATCTATCAATCTATCTATCTTGGTCTCTTATCTATCTATCTATCTATCTATCTATCTATCTATCTATCTATCTTGGTCTCTTATCTATCTATCTATCTATCTATCTATCTATCTATCATCTATCTATCTATCTATCTGTCTTGGTATGTTGTTCATCTATCAATCTATCTATCTTGGTCTCTTATCTATCTATCTATCTATCTATCTATCTATCTATCTATCTTGGTCTGTTATCTATCTATCTATCTATCTGTCTTGGTATGTTGTCTATCTATCAATCTATCTATCTTGGTCTCTTATCTATCTATCTATCTATCTATCTATCTATCTTGGTCTCTTTTCTATCTATCAATCTATCTATCTTGGTCTCTTATCTATCTATCTATCTATCTATCTATCTATCTATCTTGGTCTCTTTTCTATCTATCAATCTATCTATCTTGGTCTCTTATCTATCTATCTATCTATCTATCTATCTATCTATCTATCTATCTTGGTCTGTTATCTATCTGGTCTGTCTATCTATCTATCTATCTATCTATCTATCTTGGTCTGTTGTCTATCTATCAACCTATCTATCTTGGTCTGTTATCTATCTATCTATCGATCTATCTATCTATCTTGGTCTATTATCTATCAATCTATCTTGGTCTGTCATCTATCTATCTATCTATCTATCTATCTATCTATCTATCTATCTATCTCGGCCTGCACATATTCCTATATTAATATCTATATTCCTCTATGTCTATGTACCTTTTTTTTTTAATCCCCATATTTTACCTCTCTTTTTCCTTTCAGTTCTATCTCATTCAGTTCATATCTATCGAAATATGTTTCTACCTATCTCATACGGTTCGTATCTATATATCTATCTATTGACTTATCTCCCTGAGAGAAATATTTAAAAAAATGGTCTCAGAGCGTTGGCAATACATGGTCATACCTCCCACTCAAACTCCAAATCTGATGAGATCATCCCTCACCTGTCTTTCTGTATATCCTATTTTCATTTCCTGATTTGGAAACTGAAGACGTGTACCGTTTTCTGGTTCCTCCATTTCTTGCTTCCCGCCATTTTCTCCATCTGCCAAGCA